AATTTTTTATTAGGTGTATAACTTTGTTTCCGCCGTTTTTGTTCCGAAATTCGAAGCTTTATTGTAAAAAACTGGTTATATATTCATGATTCAAAGTATTGTCCATCGCTGACTTCTACTTTCTCCCATCTATCGGGCAGCGTACGAATCCCGCGTCGAAAAAACTGGTCATCTTTTGAGGCGATCCACGAATCGATCCAATTTTTTATTTCTTCATAAAACCGGAAGTGCTGGTCAGTCAGATCGTGTGCCATTGATCAAAACAAGTGATAGTCAGAGGGAGCAATACGGCGGGTAGGACTTCCTATTTCAACGTTTCCAAGTATGACCACTTTCGCAACATGGGGTCGAGCATTGTCATGCTGCAAAATCACTTTATCGTATCTCTCGTTGTATTGCGGTCGTTTGTCTTTCGGCTCAAATGCATCAATTGCATGCATACCGATCGTCTGTGATTGTTTCAGTCGGTTTTAACAGCTCATAATACACTACGCCGAGCTGGTCCCACCAAATACAGAGCATGATCTTGGAGCCGTGAATATTCGGTTTGGCCATCGACGTGAAAGCATGGCCGGGAACTCCACATGATTTTCTGCGCTTGAGGTTATCGTAATGAATCCATTTTTCGTCCCCAGTTACAATGCGATGCAGAAATCCCTTCCGTCTTTGCCTTTCAAGCAACTGTTCACAAGCAAACAAACGCCGTTCAACATCTCTCGGCTTCAACTCATACGACATCCAATTTCCTTGCTTCTGAATCATTCCCATGGCTTTGAGGCGTTTTGAAATGGCTGGTTGAGTCACTCCCAATGATCGTGCCAATTCTTTTTGATTTTGACACGAGTCTTGATCAAGTAATGCCTTCAATTCTGCATCTTCGAAAACCTTCTCTCTTCCACCACTATGTCGGTCTTCGACGTCAAAATCACCGTTCTTGAAGCGTTAAAACCATTCACGACACGTTCTTTTACTAATAGCGGCTTCACCATAAGTATTTGAGAGCATTCGAGCCTCAGCCGACAGATTTCTTCATATTGAAGCAGAAAATTAAAATCTCCTGCAAATGACGAAAATTTGGCTCATAAACTAACATTTTCAATCGAGAATAACTTTATAATGCAGACACAAATCGACTAATGTTTCTATGGAGTTATTTTGACAGATGCCCAAGTTTATTATATGACGTCTATAATCTATTTGTTTCGACCACTTACCACTAAAGCCATCTATAGGAAAACAGTGGAAGCAAAGTTATACACCTAATATGTCCCCTGCAGATGTCGGCGGAGTTTTGTAAACAATATTTTTTATATAGCTCCACAAAAAATATCACATGAAGTTAAATCAGAAGATCATGGAAGTCATCGAATATATCCCCCTATCCATCTTTCATGAAAGATGTTATTGAGATATTCCGTCACAATACGATGAGAATAGAATTGCGCATCATCTTGCTGCCATCATATTTTTTTTGTTGAGTAGCAAGATCAACCTTTACTAAAAGCTCATGCAATTTATTCTGCAAGAAAGTTTCCCCATTTAAGCGGTTATCAAAAAAGTATGACCAATCAAATATCCATTTACAATTCCGCATCACTGTATTTAAACTCCAACGATGTCAATTATCAACACGTTGAATCCAGTGAGAATTGTATGTGGAGAATTGTATAATGACAGTTATACCTGTTGAGTTGTCCATTGTTATGAAATGAGACTTCGTCACTGAAGAGAACATACTGGAAAAAAGTTGGATCCTCTCTTATCATTTGTAATACCCAACGACAAAATTGTCTTCTTAGATTGACTTCATATCATTTTCACTTACATTTTGGATTAAAGTGATGTGATAGGGATGGAATTTATATCTTAGTAAAATCCTCAACACAGTCACAGGAATTCCTAAATTACGTTGCAGTTCTCTAATCGAAATATGAGGATTCAAATTTATCATTGCTAGCACTACTAATACACGTGAATTATTAACGTCATCTTCAGCATTTATTGTATTTGCTTGCGGTTCCTCTTACGGATTCTTCTACGCTCTCATAATAAAATTTTTCTTATCTGCATTGCATTTGGATGTTATCTAAAGGATATCTATTATGATACAATCTTTCTGCTCTACAACAATTTTTGTCCAGTACTGCTTTAGTACTGCAAGTACAAGAATAATATCAACAATATTTCATTTGAACTGTAAGCGGCCATTTTGAAAAAAATTTTGAAAAAACCCACTAATGTAAAAACATTGAAAGAAAAAGCTATATGAAAAAAGAAGAAAGTTGAATCGTTTAATTGGGAAGGATTGGACTCAATTCCGTGCGCGTAAGCGTATGTCAAGCAGTGTGGATAGATTGCGGAGACGCGCGCGCGTAAGAATCCCGCTCTCACGGGCATGCGTACATGGCCGGTACTATTTAGTACTAATTTTCAAGCTCCATAACTTGGAAAGTACTCAATGAAATGTAACTTTATTATAATATTTTGGAAAACTCTCGAGATTGGCTACAAAAGTATGTAATAAAAAATAGGGTTTTCTATTTAAAAAAACATTAATAACTTTGACCTGATTTTGACAAGGTCACTGAAGGTCAAGTCCTAGAAGGTCAGCTATTAGATCTTCTGCCATCAAAAATAGGATGTTCTATAAAAAAAAATCGATGTGACCTTGACCTGACCTTGGTGACGCCACTCAAGGTCAAATCAATGGTACCTTCTTATGTCTCTCTCCGAACCACACAACTTTTGTTTGACACATTTTTCCGTATCTATCATAGTTTTTGAGAAATCTTAATGCATTATTTAAAACCTTGTATAAGGGTGTTTTAAAATTTGCGCCTGCGAAATATAAAACATCATACTTTATTCTAAAAGAAACCTAATTATTGTTTTCTTTTGCAAAATTGCATCTGACAAATAATTTTTGCAAGGAACTAGGTTGAAGAATGAATAAGCACTCTGATCTATGTGACACTCAGGACGTGCACTCTTTGTTCACTTGTACCTAATTCTTGACTAGTATTCATAAGTAATATTGTAAAATATTAATTTGTGTTATAATTAGGTACAACTACTTAAATCTGTACGTAAATTATAAGAATCAATTACGTGAATACTTGACCATGAGCTTCTTTTATATTATATTGCTTAAAAAAATGAAAAGATAGCAGAATAAATTATTGCTTTCATTTTTTACGTAATAATAAGTAAATAGATAAAAGAATTGTCTAATTTCGTAGATCTATCAGATCTATTTGAAAGTAAAAACAAATGTGAATAATAATATGAGCTTTATTCTTTATTATTATGAAAGTTTTATTCTTTTAAATATTGCACAATTGCGTATGGTAGTTATAAACAGTCGTAAACTAATCATAACAAAGTCATATTAGTATTTTAAAATATTACTTATGAATACTAGCCAATTAGATTCAAGTGAACGAGGAGTACGCGTCAGCTCTGAGCGCCACATAGATCAGAGCTCTTATTTGTTAACTTCAACTTGTTCTCTTGCAAAACCTACTTGTCAGACGCAATTTTGCAAAAGGAAAAAGTTATTTCTTTTAGCATAAGTATGACGTCTTGCTTTGCGGGACCGAATTTTGAAATACCCTATATGTGTGTATATATTTTATGTAAATTTCACTATTCTATTATTATTATCATTATTATTCTATTGTTGTTGATCGACTTTGGCATCAGAATATGATTTCTTTTAAATTGTTTTGATTATCATAAATTGAAATAAATATATATAAGTTGCACTATATTTTCGTAATATCTTTTTCTTAAAAAATTTTAGTATGCACAGAAAAATGTTAATATTTCAACATATTTTTTGAAAGATAGAATTTTTATGTTCCAAATCTTAAAATTACATACAAAGTTTCGTCAGACAAGAGTTTATCGATCACATCAACAAACACAGCTACAATTCGGCTTTAGTCTATAAATTTTATCATAATAGCATTTTTTAATTATTATTACAGAATAATGATTTATATTATAACTAAGACATGGTGTCTATGAATTTCAAACTTTCTATTCTTGACCGCATAAATTTCATGTATCTCTACAAAGTATATATGGATTGTTAATAATATTTTTTTTAATTCTATAATTCTTTCTAATTTTCGTAAGAAATTTTGTTAAATTCACTTCTATAAATAGTCTTTGCCTCCATGTTTGAAGACAGCGCTGGACAGCGCCATATTTGTGTTCACTGATTCTCACATAGATAAATTACACGAATGATAACGTTAGTGTTTTTATATAAATTTACGCACAGACAAGATGCATACATATGCATATGGAAACTAAACAAGGATAGCTTGGAATCAAGTTTATCTCTTTCTATTACATTGAGTCAACAATCTATTTATATAATTAATAAATTACAATAAGAACAATATTTATCACGATTTATTATTCTATTTAAGTCTGTAGTTAAATTATTCAATACATCAATGAACAAACATGTAAAAGGCTAGAAAGTTTTATTGATTGAACATGAAACTTAGTGCAAAAAATTGTGCAATGGCCGTGAGTCGATTGCATTATTGATAAGAATGCTCTACTTATTTCCTCAAAACTCCACATACGTATATATACATGTAACTATTATTATATATAAATATTTTTTATTTAATAGCTAATCTGCAAGAATGTATTTGCAATGATTTTATATTAGCCTTTATATTGTATTAAATTTTTAAACATCTTTAAATATTTTCTTCTCGTATGTGTAATGCAAACATTGACTTATTTAAATTGATATTGAATTTATGGCACATACAAATAATACAATTATTCATAGTACACATGTTCTGTATACAGAATAAAAAGCAAAAAATATTAGAAAATTCATGTTAATAATTCAACATATAGGAGCAAAGCAAGAAAACTATTATTTTTGTATCTTTTTTATATTTATTGATATAATATATTATTTGCATGATCTGTAATGCATGACAGGATGCTAATCTAGATGCTCCTCACAGGATGACGAGCCACCGGAAATCACATATTGCGTTGTGGAACATACGGGTACGCTCACGCTACAAGCAATGACACCAACCTTGCCAATGCCAGCAGAGGAAGAGCTAAATAAAATGTTTCTCGAGCTTGTCGACGAGTTGGACTTAACTCAAACCAATCGACAAGCAGTTTTGGCACTTCCAGCTAATAAAAAGTGGCAAATATATTGCTCCAGGAAAGGTAATGACACATTAGATAACGGAGGCTTGCGCACCACTGACCTTAGCGGCGATCCCGAAGATTATATCAATAGATTGAAGACGATAGCGAATGTGAGTAAATAAAAATGTTTAATGGAATCTATTATAATGATGGAATAAATCATTTTGTTTTTTTGTATGTAAAGTATTACTTTAAACAGATTCCGATCAAATAGGTTTTTGTATTAGATGAGTTTTTAAAAATATTTATTCGCACCATGGAAATGTCTTTCTACAATATAAAAAAATAAACAATACAAATACATTTTATATACATTTTTTTTAATAAAATAATTTTGACGTTTACGTGAATGGCATGAATTAATGTGATTTACTTCAAATTACAATCATTTTGCTTTGGAAATTTTCTTAAAATTAATTTCTTGAAATTAAGAAGATGCCATGAGAAAGATAAGATATAAGAATCAAAATTAAAAGATTGGTAAATAGCTCGTAAGAAAATTTAAAATTTGTAAAATAGCTATCGTATACTTTACAAGTTGCTTCACAATTTTCAAAGTTTTTGTCATGTTTTTGCGTATATTTACAATAATATGACTACTAAGGCTTAATAATTTTTGCTGAAAAAATTATAAAAAAATGAATTGCAAAACATTGCATTTTTATCATATATATATATATATATAAATATACAATAAATATACAAACCTATTGGATATTATACAGAATCCTTTCCCGGAAGAAGATGAAGAAGTATCAAATCAAATGCGTCAAGCAGAAGCTCTAAAGACTGCCCTGAGGACGCAGCCGCATAGCTTTGTTCTCAGATTTATAGAACTAGATGGTTTAAATGCTTTATTACAAGTTCTAGAAACTATGGATACCGAAGCAGCTAATAGTAATATCAACACCAGTGTTATAGGATGTTTAAAGGCTTTAATGAATAATTCGGTGAGTTTTTATCAATATAGGTAAGCATTATCCATAAAAATCTTTATTAATAAATAAATCTTTATTAATAATTAACTATTTATTTTTATTTAATAAGCAGCTTACCTAATTTTTTCATACTTGCATGAGGGTTGAGAACGTGAATCATTGTTCAATGATGCTTCTAATAAGGAAAATCTTGCATGTATCACAATTTTTCTTCTTTTAATTTTAATTAATATTTCTTTCTTTCTAGAATGGTAGAGCGCATGTGTTAGCGCATCCGACGGCAATCAACACAATATCACAATCACTCGCATCTGAGAATATAAAAACGAAAATCTCTGTCCTAGAAATTCTCGGTGCAGTTTGTCTAGTGCCAGGCGGTCACCGCAAAGTTTTAGAAGCCATGTTGCATTTCCAACAATATCATTCCGAAAGAACGCGCTTCCAATGTATAATTAATGATCTTGACAAAAATTTCGGCATCTATAAAGACAATTTATCCCTGAAAACAGCGATCATGTCATTCATTAACGCTGTACTAAATTATGGACCTGGCCAAGTAACATTAGAGTTTAGGTTGCACTTACGATATGAGCTACTGATGCTCGGCATCCAACCTATCATCGAGAAATTAAGAAAATACGAAAATGAGACACTCGATAGGCATCTCGATTTTTTTGAGATGGTACGAAATGAAGATGAGAAAGAGCTTGCCAGGAAGTTTGAAAAGGATCATGTAGACACTAAAAGTGCTAGCGCCATGTTCGATCTTTTGCGACGGAAACTCAGCCATACTGCTGCTTATCCTCATCTTCTTAGCTTACTTGAACATTGTCTTTTATTGCCACGTGAGTTCTTGGATTGATAGATCTTATTTTTAGCAAAAACATTCTATAATGCAAATTTTTTTTCAGTGGATTACGGTTCGCATCCTCAACATTGGTTGTTATTCGATCGAATCGTTCAGCAAATTGTTTTACAGTCTGAAAGCAACGAGACGGGTTTAGTAAGAAATTCTGATGTGGCTCCAATAGATATAAACGTGAAAGAAATTGTTCATCTTCTCGCCAAAGAGGAGGAACTTGTGGCAGCAAGGAAAAAGGCTGAGGAGATGGAACGCGAAAATTTGGACATGTCTACAAAATTGGCTAAAAAGGAGCAAGAACTAGATTTGAGAACTCAAGAAAAAGTATTATCCAAATTTCATATTTTTGCCAGTAACAATTAACGAATCTTATAATAATCTCCAATAATAACAAATTTTATTTATAAAAAGTAGTCACAGACATACTATATACAGTCTATACAAAAAGAATTTTATTTTCTTAGTTTAATTTACATATTTGCTATCACAACTTTTCAAATACGTTAAAAATATTACGATTGATGTATAATAATATAAACATGAGAAAAACATACATATTATTCAGACGTAAAGATATTTTTTTAGATATACTGAATACATTTTTAATGTAAGTCTAATCCGTAATATAAAAAATGATAAACAACATTTCTTTTTTTTTCTATAAATTTATTTAATATAAAATAAGTTATTCGTTATCCTTATATTTTATTCTTATTATCTTTAATATGTCATAAATTTATGTCATATTTTTTTTAATTGTCATTTATTACTGGATATTATTTGTTTTTTAGAACAAATAATCATTATATATGATTATTTATTATTTATTTATAGGAAGATATGGAAGCAAGTTTAGCAAGAATCAAAGAACGTCTTGAAAAAGAGACATCGATGCACATAGAGACAAAACAAAAAATTTCTGAATTGCAAGATAACCTTGAGACATTGTCGCGACAAGTTAACAACGAAAAATCAGAAAGGAAACGTCTAGAACAATTAGTAGCTTCAGGAAGTTTGCCAGACGATGCAAAAGCCACTTTAAAAATTGTGGAAGATGAAGTACTCGAGAAAGTTGAGACCAAACTTACTCCGCCACCACCGCCACCTCCTCCATTAGCACCTCCGCCACCTCCTTGTTTAATGCCGGCTGCTCCTCCGCCGATGAAGGTTGTTACTGTATTTAAAAGTTTATAAATTAAATATTTGTTATGTTACAGCAATAAAAAAATAATTTAACGTTTAATAATTAGTTTAGAAAACAGTACACAATTAAAAACACTTCCTAAGATTTGTTACAATCACAACAGTATAATTTGTTATATAGTAATTATCTTTAGCCTGATAATTTAATTCAAATTAAATGTCTTAGATGGAGATAATAAAGAATGTTCCACAGCCGAGTAATCCTTTGAAATCGTTTAACTGGTCCAAAATACCTGAGCAGAAATTACAAGGCACGATATGGTCAGAATTGGACGATTCGAAACTCTATAACGTAATGGACCTCGAGTCCATTGATAAGATCTTTTGCGCTTATCAAAAAAATGGCGTTTCTACGGAAGGCTCGATAGAGGATTTGAGAACATTAGGAAAGAATAAGAAGACGATGTCGGTAATTGATTCGAGAAGAGCGCAGAATTGCACTATATTATTGTCAAAATTGAAAATGTCTGATAATGAAATTACTAGAACGATATTATCGATGGATCAGCAGAATATTTTGCACATCGATATGGTGGAGCAGTTGTTAAAGTACATACCATCCTCGGAAGAGGCTGCCTTGTTAGATATCCATCAAAAAGAATTGCAGAACAGGGCTGATTGTTTCTTATATCAAATATCAAAGTTAGTTGTATTTCTAACATTATTTAACTCTTAGATTCTCTCTCTCTCCCCCCTCTCCCTCCCTCTCCCCCTCACCCTCTTCCTCTCTCTCTCTCTCCCTTCCTCCCTCCCTCCCTCGCTCCCTCTCGTTTTCTCTCTCTGAAACTATGGTAACTGTTTTCATCGATTAATTAATTTTCGAATTATTTCAAAATTTTAGTCTTTCGTTAAGCAAGAACAAAAGAGATCAATAAAACATAGAACAAATAAAACATAAGATTTCTCTTGTTTTTAGGGTGCCACATTATGAACAGAGATTGCGTTCTCTTCATTACAAAAAGAAATTCGCAGCTAGCATTGCGGAATTGACACCGAGGATGCGAGCAGTTTTAGAAGCGAGCCGACAAGTAGCTAGATCAAGGAGACTCAGAAAACTTTTAGAATTAGTTTTAGCATTGGGAAATTACGTGAATCGTGGAAACGCGCGGGGTAACGCATGCGGCTTTCGATTAGCTTCTTTGAACCGTCTAGTCGACACAAAATCTTCTTGTTCCAAGGGAACAACTTTACTACATTACCTTGTACAAATTCTCGAAGCCAGATTTAGAGAAGTCCTAGAAATCGAAGAAGACATGCCGCATGTTAAAACGGCTGCTAAAGTTAGTATGGCCGATTTGCAGAAAGAAGTGGCCAACTTAAAAAACGGACTGCAGGATGTTCAAAGAGAAATAGGTAATAACGGATTATACAATTTTAAGCAACTTGAATAAAAATTCGAATAAATGCAATTGCATAAGTTTAATTTAAAAGCTCATGAGTATTTTAAAACGATTAATTGTCTATGATAATTTCTATTTTCTATGCCTTTTCTGAGCAAAAATGCTAATGATTATCTAAAAGTATTTAAAGATACTTTTAGATTATTGTTAGCATCGAAAAAAATAAATTATTATTGTAACATTTATCTTATTTCAATTTCATTCATTTTTTAGAATTTCATCGAGGTCAATCTCAGGTGCTTCAAGGAGATATGTTTTTACCAGCAATGAGAGATTTCCAAGCGCAAGCCACATGTAGATTAGCAGAGGCCGAAGACTTATTTCAAGACATGAAAACTAGAGTAAGAATATAAAATAAACAATTAATGTTAATTGTGATTGTGACAAGTAATATATCTGACTATAATATAACTAATATAATTTTACCAAAACAGTTTGATCGAGCAGTGAGACTATTTGGTGAAGATTCGGCTGGTGTTCAACCAGATGAATTCTTTGGCATTTTTGAAAACTTTTTACAAGCCTTAGCTGAAGCAAGACAAGATGTAGAAAATATGAGAAAGAAAATCGAAGAAGAGGAACGTAGAGCGAAACAAGAACAGGAAGTAAGCAATATTGTTTCATAAATACATGTATAAAGAAAGAACCCATTTGCCAATAAATTGATTATCTACAGCCATAAATAGTATACTAGATCGCTAACTTCTGAGTTGATTTAATGACAGCAATAGTATATAATTATGTTATACATATATGTGTACACGATGTGTGTTGTGTATGTATGTGCAAAATTATTGGAGCGGCCATTGAATGAACTCAACCGAATATCCGGCCGGATTTACAGCGTTTTAGTCAAAGTTAGCGATCTAATACTAGTATAGACATCTATGCCTACAACATCGTTTGCCTATATCTTATTTACCTATAAATCGATTATGTTGGGTTATTTTGTGTATCCCTCATAAGACAATGATCTCGCCGTATCGATCTCCGTTTACAATTTCAAGAGGCGGGAGCCATTAAGTTAAGAAGAAGTTCGATTGACTACGAGCACTATTCTTTGCTTTAAAAACACAAATTATTTTTTTATATAATTTAAATATTTGTAGGCAAATCGATCTGTAGGTAACCAATTTGTAGGCAAAAAAAACTCTCTTGCGTAAAAAACGTATAAAATGTATAAAATGTAAATATTATATTGCATAATTTCTTACAGCTCCGAAAGAGAACGATAGAGAGGAAGAACTCGCGGGAGGGTATATTAAATAGCATATCTTTAAGTAAGAAGAATGAAGTAAATAGTAATGGACAACAAAATGATAACAAAGGTGAATTCGACGACTTGATATCTGCTCTTCGAACTGGTGATGTGTTCGGCGAAGATATTGCTAAATTCAAAAGGTCAAAACGAAGACCTGTTACACCTAGCAGTCAAGAATCACGTAGACATAGTACTCACAAGGAAGATTCCCGAGAACGTCATTGAAACTCCAATAGGATCAAACAGATCATTTGTCAGGATATAAGTTTTTTCACATATAAAAGAATTCATTTATTAAGAATTTTACATATCGTGTTTTAATAGCACATTACAGGGGGTGATCTAATTACAAATATAAATAACATTCCATAAAATAACAAAAACAAAATTAATCTGAGCTAATAAAAGTCAGCGAGAGGAAGTGCACAATAAAATTTTAACAAATAAATTTGTTACTCCATTTAATGTGTTGATGTCTTCTTTATTTAAAATCTTAAAAAATCGTTCAATTCTCTTTGGAATCATCATCAACAATATTCTTAATCCATAAAATTATGTAGTAAAATTATAATTACTTATTGTAATAATTACAAATGTAATTTAATACAAGAATTAATGAGTCAAAAAGAAAATCTAAAACAAAAAGTCAAAATTTTAAACGCCGCGTTAATATTGTGCATAAAATTATGTAGTAAATTTATTATCGCTCAGTCTTGAAATATAAGTTATGTCAAATTATTTAACATAGATGCATAAGCATGATGTAATCCATCTGTTTCAGAAAGCAAGTTAAGTTCATTTTTTTTGCATACGTATATGTACTTTCTCAGATATTAATTGCTTGTTTAACGTTCTTTTTGAGTCAAGTATTTTGATGTTCTCCCAATCAAATTCGTGATTGTATTCCAATCTGTAATCCGGGATAACAGATTAGCTATTTGTATTTCAATTTATGTGATTGCGATGTTCTGCAATCCTAGTATCGTACTTAGTCTCCTACTCGTTTGATCTGCGTAAGTTGTATCGCAATCTTTGCACTCAATTTTATATATAACATTTTTGTTCGCATTCTATTCTACATAAAATGTATTAAAAAGCGATTATTTGTGATTATTAATATCCAAAGTTTCATGATGAGATTTGGTGATTGTGTAGATGAGTTACTCGTTAGATGTGTTATTCGTTACTTTTTTGATTGATTTTAAATATCTCAAGTATATGAATTTAAATATTATAGATTACACTACAGTTCTAGCAACCTGTGAGTGATTCTATCTTGACTGTTCGCGAAATCTAATATGGATTAAGAATATTGCTGATGAAGATTCCAAAGAGAAACGAAACGTTCAATGATTTTAAATAAAGAAGACATCAAACGGAGTAATAAATTTATTTGTTAAAATTTTATTGCGCACTTCCTCTCGCACTAACTCTCATTAGCCCAGATTAATTTTGTTTTTGTTATTTTAAAGAGAGAAAGTCCTTGGTTAACATATTTATTCTATAAAATTATTTGAAGCGTTTTAGACACGCGCGTGTGACATTATATACAAAAATCATATTAATTTAATAGTGCATTTCTATTTAGACCTGAAACGCTCTTTTAAATTCAACTCGAAAAAAATAACGTAGAAATTTATTGTCTAAACGATTTATATATATGTATACGTATATGTATATACATATAGGGTAAAGTTGCTTATTATGAGGTACTTTTTTTAAAGGCTTGTAATTTATTTAATTTGTATCTTCAGGTCAAATTTATGGGAAATATATTTAAGTTTTATTGTCAAAAGTTAGCAGTCGATAATAGCTATATTTTGTTATATGCGAAATTTTTTACCAAATGTGCCGATTTTGATCATTTAGAAAAAGTGTTCCTAATATGAGGTGATATATCATAATAGGAAACTAAGGAAAAAATAAAGATAAGCTTTTTGTACGCACTTTTATTATATTACATACAAGTAGGAACAAGGAATTTAAATGTTATACATAATAGTTATATAATTTTCCGATGTGTGTGATGTGAGTATGTGTGTATGAATTATCTTAACAATAGCATCATCATTTTTAACATTTCGTTCGATAGTATGTTTTGAGATATTGAATTGTTTAGATGCTCTCATATTAGTTAGGAATACCCGGAGTATCTCATATTACGAAATCCATGTTTACAATTTCACGATCACCAAATTTAATCTTTACAGTTAAACAAATCATTATATCACATGTTTTCCTATGAATACGATCTTACTCTATCACTGCATGCAGACTTTATTATCTAATATTTATATATAATAATAAAACAAGATTTAAAGACTAACCTCAATAAAATTTGACAACATTCAATTTCACAAATCTTTTTTTGTAACGACTACACGCATGATCTATAATAATGAATTTTCTACTAAACAGATTTCACACTAAGAGTAAAAAGTTCATGATAGAACCAAACACATACGCTTATTAGCATAACATAAACTCCGCTATCTTATATTATATAAGAATCCATTCCATAATAGGCGACTTTACCTTATGCGTGCGTGCGTGCGTGATATATACACACGCACACACACACACATACACACATATAGGATGTTCTCCAAGTTTTTGCCAATCGCTTTTGCGTAGATGAACGAATTAAATTGAGTCGAAAAGTTCTCTATCATTTTATAATAGTTAACAAAATATTAATTATTAAAAATTTCTGAATATTGGTCTGGAATAATTTTTTATTCAAATACTATCAATTTTACAAGTAAACTGCAAGAGATAAAAATCATTAATTTTCTTCTCATAGAATTCTAAGAATTTTTTCAGAATTTTTTATCTATTTTTTAGTACTGCATTTTCTTATTTTTACCAACATGAGAAAGTATTAAAAAATTCTAAAACAATTCTGAAAATATTCTCAAAACTCTATGAGAAAAAAATAAACAATTTTTGTTTCTTACTTTTCTGCAAAGATGTTTGCTTGATAATGTTTGAGTAAAAAATTGTTGAAAACCAATATTCAGTGATTTTTAATAATTAATATCTCATTAACTATTGCGAAAATTGCAAAATAGTAGAGAACTTTTCGACTCAGTTTAGTCTGCTCTATCTATACAAAAGTGATATAAAATATCTTGTAAAATATTCAATTTTCCGTAATTTTAATACTTTTATACACGGAAATAATGAGACTATTCAATTAACATTGTTAAGTTTTAACAAAAAGATTATTAGTGTTTTGAAAAGATAAAAGAATATGTAATGAAAAATAGGATGTACCATTTGGAAAAATCAACGTAATCTTCATATGACTTTCAAACGATTATTTAAGCTCAAACCAATGATTCCATCTTATGTATATCTCGAAATCATATTATACTTTTGTCTGAAACATTTCTTTTCTAAAATGCTCCGGAGATAAAAAAGGTATATGAGTGGTCTTAACACCTGGTATATGTATATATATATATATATATATTAGGTGTTGGAATTAATTCGTAGCGTTTTACAAGTGATGGGAAGTACTTTCATTAATGTATTTTTTAATGCTCATGTGAAATAAATAACATTCTTTCATTAAAAAACGCTACGAATTAATTCCAACACCTAATATATATATATATATAGAGAGAGAGAGAGAGAAAGAGAATTTACAGAATATAAAATTCGGCACATTTATATTTATCAAATGAAATGCTTTTTATAACAATTTTCTATAAAAATTCATAATCCTGTCCTTACATTTTCTGACAGTGATCTGTACTATTAATATGCTATTATATAACATTTCTTGCAAAATTTTTTATTAATATAAATATATTATTTATGAACATTTTACAATAGAAAAAATTTTTAATTTTCATTTACCTATTTTCAAAAAATTTTGTATATGAAAGACTGCTTTGATAGGAAAAAGATAATCGGATGTAAAATTAATATCATTTTTGCAATAAGTTTCTACAATGAATCAAATATAATATAATTATATAATAATTCTGTGAATGTGTTAAATTATATTAATTTTAATCTGGTTTTATATATATATATATTTGCTACGTATCATGATTTAATATAAATAACCTAATATGTATATTTTTAAATTGTGTAACAAAATTTAATTTAAGAAAATTTTAATAATTAAGCAAAAGGAGAAAATGTAGCAAAATGCATCGTATTTTTTGTGACATTTATAATATATTTTGCTCAATCTATAATGATCAAGAATATTTACGAAATTATTGTATAAATTAAACTAAGCATAACATACAAAACAATTTCTCACGCTTGTCAAAAATTTTTGTGTGCATTTTATAAAATAATATGAAATAATAAGTTTAAAAAAAAATAAAATGTGATTAATAATAGCCACATGATTGAATAATGCATACTATGTATGTGCAATTTGTCTTGCTATTATTTTATTTTTAAAAAATTATCCTTTTTTGGTACCCTTGTCGGTAATATTATACTGGCTAATTTACTACTAAAAACAGTATAAATTAATTACTTATTTAAAGTATTAAGAGTGACAATAGTAATAACAATAAGTGCTTAATATTTAAAATAAATAATTAATTACTAATTATTGATCAGTATTAGATTTCTGTAAGAATAAAAGCATACTTCTCAAATTTCCAAAATGTTTTAATCGAGAGTCAATGCAAATTAATGAAGCAATTTTTTGACTTATAAATAAAGTATTTTTAGATAAATACAAACTTAAACTCGTATTATTTCAAATTATTGTATTCTTGAACACATGTATAAATTCAACTCTTATACGCTATAAAGCGTTCTTGATTAATAAAAAATAATAAACATGATTATATGAATTTTTAATAAATTATTCATATAATACGAAATTCTTTTGTATAAAAAATTACTTTGTATATTTTAATAATTAAGACTGACTGCAATTAAGCACAATTAACTTTGTAAATCCTTGATGATAACAATATCCACTAATCAGATTTTAAACAAAATAAGGCATTTTTAAGATTATGTTGTATTAGATGTATCTCCGTTATGTCAAAATCAAAGTACAGCATAAATCATCTATAACATGTACTAAAAGATATATACATATACATATATATATATATACAGGATGAGTCACCTATAAAGCCGGCCACTCGAATAACACTTACAATTGAAGATAGGAAAAAATGTTTCAGATGAAAGTGGAACGGTTTCAAGGGAGACGTGTTTTAGTCATGTTGTATTTCTTCTAGATGGAGGCGTAAAAAAGAATATGAAGATTACCTTCATTTTTTTTAATGGAATTGTACAATTTTTATAAAAGTATTAGACTATAAAATATAACTAACAGCGGGCAATTGAAAATTGGCACAGTGATCGGTGCGTAATTCGCTTTAAAAAACTTTATCCTACATTAATAAAAAAAATTTGTACATGTTTTGGCTAGTTTTTTAGCCTTCTTCAGCATAATACGATAATAGGTGATGCTCATATATTGATAGACGAAACATATGATGATACAAATATTGGTAATTAATTCGGTCGTGTGGTTCCCAGTTTGTTCTTAATTATTTTACAGTTTATACGGGAATATTGTTATCTTTAAAAATATTAAGCTAGAGATATTTAAAAAAATCAATAGTTTAGTTAAATATTTTATACTTTATTGTGTCACATATCGACATAAAATATTAAATAACTCCTAAACTATTAGCTTTTCAATAATCATATCTTAATACTTTCATGAACAGAATAATGAGATGAATCAATTGGTAGAAAGAAAACACATAAATGCTTATTTAAAAAATTATCCATTTTGCATACATATTTTTGTGTCAGAATAAAAGATAAAATATCTCGTAAACTATTAGTTTTTTGGTATCTCTATCCTAATACTTTTATATGCAGAATCATTAGAAGAATCATAGTCGTAAAAAAAATTATACAATTCCATTTAAAAAAATGAAGGTGACCTTCATATCTTTTTGACGCTTCCAATTAGAAGAAGGTCAACATGACTAAAACACGTCTCCTTTGGAACCGTTCCATTTTCATCTAAAATATTTTTTTCCTATATCCAAAATTGTGAGCATTATTTGGATGACCGGTGATTCACCCTTATATATATATATTATATAACTTGTAGAAGTTAATGGCAATTGTGATTAAATTCCTGATTACGTGTTATATATCAAATAATTTTGCCTTGAGTAAATGTGATAAGAATTTTATGAATATCTCGTATAATATGTAAATTTCATAGAATATTCAAATACATTGATAAATGATATTTATCATAAAGGATGATTTTTAATCGATAAAATAATACTCTGCCAATAATAACAGACATTTAAAAGGCCTAGACAAGCAGTAATTGCCAGTTAACTGTTTCCGAAAAAATAAAAGTCTGTTTATCTAATTTAACGAAACAATATACGAGTCGAATATGATAAATTGATAGTTAGAAAACTATGTTATGCTAACTAATTATGCCGTTAAGGTTAGTTTCCGATTGTAGAAATAGATTAATATAAAAAGTATGATTAGAAAAGTTTGTTGTATAGTAGTCGATGTTTTGTAAACTTTTGTACTTTTGTAAATATTCAGCATTGGTATTTTTGTTCCTTGGAACATATCTAACTATTATATTCGCAATATCCAATTAATATATTATATAACATTAATATTACACATATATGTATACTAAAATATAAAGAAATGTATTAAATAAATGTAAAAGAAATCTTCATGATTTTAAGAACTAACTTGTTTGGTTTACATTTCTTGAAACAAATATTAATGATAAAATCCTAATATTATTAATTATTTATAAAATCTATATATACAGCCAGGGTTGGAAAGTAACTAGTTAAGTAAGTTGTAAGTTACAGTTAGAATTACTTTATTTCAGTAACTTTAACTTAACTTTGTTCCTTTTTTCAGGTTGTAATTTTAATTTAATTTAATTACATTTCTTTTTGTGTTAGTAATTAATTGGAATATATTGTGAGACAGTAAGCACGTAAGCAATAAGCGAAGCAGCCAGTCATAAAAAACATAGAAATATATTATTATTTTACATTTTCTATTGTAATTGGCCTATTCGCTTACGTACTGCTTATATCTTACTATCTTAGATTTTTTTATATGCTTCTGATTTAACACTTTTTATCTTTTAAATAAGATTGTATAACATATAAAAGCGTAAATCAATTTTTTTCCTTTGTGGTCTTATTAGTATCAAAATGTTATATATGTTATTTTATTAATAATAAAAAATGGAAAAAAATGTTTCGTTAAATTAATTGAAATTCTTATGGAAAATAAACGATTCAGAATTCTGGATAAATCTACTCGATTTTTGGTTAAAGCTACTAGAATTCTAGCTACCAGAAATTTAGTAGACAACCAGATTGTTCATTTTCCATCAGAATTTTAGTTAATTCAATCAAACATTTTTTTCTCCGTGGCGAAAAATAACTGAATTAAACGAAAAATAACTAAAAAATTATTTTTCGAGTAACTCATTACTTTTTAAAGTCGGTAATTTATAATGATAACAAATTACTTTTTAAAACAAAAAACTGTAACTGTAATTAGTCGTTTTTACAAAGTAACTTTTCCAATCCTGCATATATTACCCTCATTTTAACAATTATTATTTATTATTATAAAAGATAATTGCATTTACTGAAACGTCTTTATAATATGTATAAGAAGTGATAATATCTGTGATACATAAGGAATGATAAAGAGGAAAATCACGATTTCATAACTTGATCGATCGACCACGCATATTTGCTCGACAAAGTAAAAAATATAAATTAGAATTGTATTGAGAAACTATTGTATTGAAAACGTTTCTTTTTAAAGGCATATTTTTATAACTGTAATATTTTTTTATGTGTTATTTCTATTACGTAATTTAACCCTCCGCAAACCAAGTGGAAAATCAACATGGATCTGTGGAATATCTCATACCCTATACTATACTTCATCATAAATATATTATAATTTAATATAGTTGGTAACTACGCACTCTTAAGTTGCATGAAACCGGCAATTTAGACGCGTTACTTTTTAAGAAGTTATGGAAATTCATCTTACTGGAGTATGTCATATCTTACCTGGTCCGTGGAGGATTAATAAAGATGTTTTTAAAATAATTATATCAATCTTATATTATGTAATAAGATTTTGCAACAAATATGATAATTTGCGAAATAATGTTATAACATATAAATGGGATAATGAAAATGAAAGCATACTTGTTCAGAAATTTTATTTATTACGTATACTAGCCGACTACTATGCATGCGTTGGAACATTCGGATACAGAGAATTCACTGTAGATCCAAAGTCCATCATCAAGTATTTTCACAATAACAGCGGTGTCACTTCCATTTATGACTCTTAAGTTGCTTTTTTTCTAAAGAATGTATGATTACTTCGTTTCCCATGATCGAATCTTTTAAATTATAATATGTTACGTTACGTGTACAACTTGATAACTCTAAGCCAGACGAAATACATCGTTCGAAAAAAAAATTATGATCTGATAATCTCTTCATTATTTTTATAGAACTTAACTTATTTTAAATGTAATAGTAACAAAACATCAGTAAGTAGTTCCCTACTAAATTGCTATGTTACAGGAGTTAAACAATTTTTTTTTCTTAATTACTCAGATGTAATATCTGTGTTCAACATTTAAAATAAACAAACATACGTAGATAATGAGCTTCACATCGAATCAAACAACTTTCAGCAAGCATTTTAAATAAGTAATTAAAAAATGAACAAATTAACATTATCTATTATTTTGTTTTATATTTTTAATGCTTTGCAGAAATTTAGTAATAAAATAATAAACAAAATTTTTTAAAATTATTTTTACATAATAATTACAAAACTTCTAGACTGTTTATACTCACAAAAAAATTTTTGTCTGGCTCAGATATCTCGCAATCACGTTTAATTTTAGTCATCTTTTTATATTTACGCATATGTATATATATATATATATATATATATATATATATACTTTTTATTTATATATTTATGTACAGAAGGCGGACGTCCCGAAACGACGGTGCAACCCGGGGATAAGTTTATTCGTAGCACAAATGGAAAGTATAAGGATTAGATTTGCAATATTCCACCAACTTTCATTTCATACAATCTTCAAGAGACATATTGTAAAATTTGTTTATAACAATCGCCCGACGAGACACCGACGCCGTTGTAGCTGCCTTACGTAGATGTATCTGTTACTAAAGTATAATAATATCTTATCAGTATAGAACTTATATCGATATATTGCACATTTGACAACAGTTACGTTTCTCTTTAAGTACCAGGATATAGGAAGTCTTCGCTAAATAAATCTTTGACTTGCACCCCCCCCCCTTCTCTCTCTCTCTCTCTCTCTCTTTCTCTCGCTCTCTCTCTCTCTCTCTCTCTCTCGCTCTCGCTCTCGCTCTCGCTCTTGCTCTCGCTCTCTCTCTTACTTTATTTGACATACACATCTACATGCATATTATCTCCCTTATACCCATACACATAAGTTTAACAATCGAATTAACTTTCGATGATTGCATATTATTTTAAACTTGTAAATCTTAGAGGAGATTTTTAAGTGTGTACAAGTCTTTAAGTTCGCTTCTCTTCGATGTGTATTTATATATTTTGTAATCTTCATACTACGCATTCGATAATTTCTCTTTCCGTCTTTTTATTTCTTTTATTCTTTACGTTGCTCAACATTCGTTGCAGGTTAACATTCTGAAGAGAAAATCTTCAAGTTTTTTTATCACACTTTACTCTCAGTTTCAGTTGTGTACGCGCACGCATCCTCTTCTCCTTCCCATACATACACACATACATACACACGCGCGCGTGCGCGCGCACGCGCTCACAAACAAATAATACATACATACACAAAATTGCGCTTTAAAAGCAATTATATTCTAATTAGGTAGTTCCGTTTGATCTCGATCTGTCGATCCATTAAACTTATTGATTAAAAATCAAGCCTCGTCCATTGATAACTTTTCTTATCGAAAAAAAATTTCTTTGAATATTTGCTTATGTTCGTCAACGACAGGATTTCCAGATAGATAATCTTTTTTTTGTTTGTTATATGGATCAGTAGGCTGTTATTTCGTTGATAAGTATTAAGCTTAATTTTATTATAATTAATTTTATTGTTTATTCAACGGTGTTTCTCGGCATTTTATTTTTTTTGAAACGCAACATGGAAACAGCATCTTCATCATTGTATGTCAAGTCGTTGCGAAGGATTATGTGAATCCATATCGATTTATAGGCTTGCTTGATTATTACATGAGATTTACATAATGCAAATCAAGCACTCGATCTATTAGTTTGTTACGCTTCGTTGTAATTTTTAAATACACACACACACACACACATATATATATATATATATATATATATATGTATATATATATATATCTTTTGTATATATCTTCGAGCTTCACAATTAATACTGCATTACAGATAATTTCGGTCGCAAAAATTCACAGAACTGCGTTTAAAGGCGACGCGAGGAACGTAGAACATTGGAATCACAACAATGCCGGAACAATCTGAAATCCTTTCTCGCAAGAAATTTGTCCAATCGATGCCATTGCTGCAATCTGGCTGATATTAATTAGAAGTGATTTTAGAAAGATCCTTATATTTTAAAAGAATCTTTGACAAGATATTTATTAAAAAAATATCACTAATTTAAAAATCGGTGCTGCCGATTCATCTACGACAGTCTGCCAGGCAGGACACATGCTTCCGCATCAACGGCAAAAATATTAGACACGGAAGTATCAGAAAAAGTGTCAGTATTTTCACAATTAAACAGAAGTGTGTAGCGTGCTGGATTGTGGTGCAGACGGATACGACCCACTTGGAGGCGTCGATGTTGGTTGCAGATTCAATTGCAATTGATGCTGCTGTGCTTTCGCTCTCAAGCAAGCAATACTTTCGTTTCTGAGTTGTTCCGTATCTTGCACAACACCTATAAACAATAATACATGTATTGTGTGTATATATATATATATATATATATATATATATATATATATATAGAGATATATATAGATATATATATACCTGATACATATACCTACAGTACTATTACAAAAGGTCGATAGTTTTGAATAGGTACTCTCTAAATTTTTTAGAGTGAAAATTGAGCCAGTTAGAAAAAAAAATAAAGACTTTTCAATTTTGAACCAAAAATTTTCATTCTTTTTTTAATAAGGTTTTACTCTTTTGGAATGAGATTCACTCCAAAGGAATGAAATCTCACTCCTTTTTTGGAATGAAATTTCATTCCTTAGAGTGACTTTCCTTAGAATGAAATCTTACTCCAAAAGAATAAAATCTAACTCCTAAAGAATGAAATTCTGCTACTCTTGTTCAAGAGTGGAAATATTTTCACTTTTTCTTTAAGAGTAGCTCAATTTTCAGTCTTTTGGAGTAAGATTTCACTTTAAAGAATAGATTTTTCAATTTTCTAGTTTTTATTAGGTATTACTTATTAAATTTTCCTATTTCATTTTTATTATTATATGTATATAGTTCAAAAAGTTATATCATTCCTTCTAAATTGTGTTTTAAACATTTATTTATAATGAAAGAGTTATTAACAAAGTTTTTCACTAATAATCTTACAAATTCTAAAAAGGCTGTATTCACAGAAAAATTTATTAGTATTTTAATAATACAATATGCTTGATTGTAAATTCCAATATTATTGTAAATGCCAATATTGCAGCAAAACTTTTATTTTATTTATTATATAAAATTTCTATGAAATAATATAAAATATATGTTATCTAAATAGAATAAGAATACTTACTCGTAGATGACGAAGGTCCCATACCATCCTGGCTCTCCTGTCCACTCTCCGAACTGGTTGGTCCTCCTTGATGATGATTATGGTGGGGACTGCTTCCGCTTCCGTTTTGATCATTGCCGCTGTCCTCTCCACCAGATTTGAGATGCTCTGCTGCCTCGAGCGATTTCCGATGCATCCCTACAGGTCCACAGTCAATCAGTTCTTGATTATATTCGAAATCTTGGTTAAAGCTGCTTGTCTTAGATGATTGAGCTGATAAAAACCAACAGAAAAAATATTCGGAATTTGTTCCGCCGCTTTAGCTTAAATGATTTTACGGAACGAAAAAATAGAATATTTTCCGGTTTTTAATAGTAATAGAATAATATTGCTTTAATTATCAAAGTATGAAAATACGGTTTAGAATTATTTAATGTCTAGTTATGTCTGCAAAAGTAACCAATAAATAATGAAAATGTATTATATACGTAAACATTATGTTATACTTATTTATATTTACACACACACACATACACACACATTTTTTTCTTAGACATTAAATAATCTCTATTCTCTTGTCGTATAAAGTTATTATTAATTATATCTTACCTAGTTTTAAAAAGGAAGAGAGAGAGAGATAGAGAGAGAGAGAGAGAAAGAGAGAGAGAGAGAGAGAGAAAGAGAGACTTGGATGTAATTATAATTAAAACAATTAATAATCTTAATTCCCTGATATAAGAAATATAATTATAATAATTCTAGCTATTGGGAATTAGAGTTTATATTTGATGAGACAGCAGTTTACTTCAATGCTCAAATGCGAACAAGAATTTTATTGCGAAACTATTTTTATTTTAATTGACTGAATTGATTTTATATCAATGTTTTATATCAATGACGTTTATCGGTAGTGATTTGATGGAGGCGTTTAATCACGGTTGCACCATCCAGCTAGTCCCCCCCCCTCTCCAATTGATTGCGTTTTCACTCTAGGAAATGGTGATTGACCACCTCACATGAAAACATTGCGGATACTAAATTAATGAAATACATGCGGATACCGTCTTATACGTCTTATGCTCATCGCTCATCTAATTACATCATCTATGTATTGAGGATAGCTAAAAAGTTAATCGAAACATGTATACAAATTAATAATTAAATATGTAAGATACAATTTAATAATTTGAAATTTTTATCGCGCACATAATACAGTGCTAATTTCCAGTAGTCAAAATTATTATAATTATAATTATAATTAAATAATTTTAGAATCAAGTTTAAAAAAAAATATTCAAAAATACATGTTACATATTTAATTTGTCAAAGTGTTATTAATATAAGATTTTTTATCAGAGATGTTTTCTGTCTTACCTAACAACCACGGTGCAACGGATTCATTTTCCTTGGCACTTCTTAAAATTGTTTCCGGAAGTGGTAAAGAATGCCGTACCATCGCTCCATATAAACCGTATTCTGCCATTATAGTACTTCTGCCCCAACATTTCTCTGTCTTGCGCCATTTTGCTCTCCGATTTTGAAACCAAACCTGAAAAAATTTTGCATTTTTATGTGAAAAGGTAAAAATTATTTTATACATAATAAAAAAGTTTAATCTATTTTTTTCGTTGATTTTTTTAGATATTAATTAAGAATTCACACAAAAACGTGAATATATAGTTGGTAATAAAGTTTATAGTTAGTAATAAAGCGGTAAAAATTTGTCATTTGTATGTTTGGACTACAGTTGAAAAATATTTATATATTAATGTGTTCTACACATTACACTATCATTCTTAATTGGAAAATTATTATGATTGTTCTAGACTAGATCATCAGTTACTTCATCCAATTATCACTTGCATGACACGTGCCACAATCCGTTTTATGGTTAATTATCGTGCTCAAACGACCTCATCAAAAATTGCTATTCTATTTTTTATATTCTTTAGATTACTTGTTAACACAAACCCCCTTATTCGACCTCCTGTGGTGAAGACGCGTGTCACCTTCTCCAATATGCTTGTATATATATATAATAGATTACCGTTTTTAAAAAAATAACAAGTATTACATTTTATTAGATAAATTATTATTTAACAGATCTTATACATGTATTAAACATTTTATTTTTCTAAAATTTTTAATTAAAAAAATTTTTTTATTTTAATTATATTTTAATTATAATTTAAAAACTGTGAGTGCTACATTGCTACAACATAGCTGTACAAGAGAAAATTAGATTAAAATTTGATGAAAAAATTTTAAAAAAATTACCTTTGTGGAATATTCATATATCACTTAAAGTGTTAAGTAAATGTATACATTGACTACAGCAGACTACAGTAAGTGTATACATTTACAGTAAGTGTATACATTTACCAAGTGAGTTAACATTGTGACTGTGACATATATAATGATTACACACACAAAATGTTATTTAAAAAACTGGACACATGCATTTGTTCCACAAGCACATATACTTCTAACAGAAGAGGGAGGCCGGAGGCTAGGGCGTGGACCAATTTACAGCAACAATGCCAAAGTCACCGACAGAATTGGTGCGTAATTTGAATGAATGGGAACGCGTCGCCCTGTCAATTTAAGCTGTTACCCCGAAATTATCTTCCGCTTATATTTCAACGAACATATAGGTTTTCACGGAGATAGAGAATCAGAATATTTACACGCATAGATATCGATTCAAATTAATTTACGTTACGGTTTATTAAAAAAATCTTTTAACGATATATACTTTTCTGATTTTCAATTTAATAAGAAAAACATAAAATATACTATTATTGTTTTCTTAAAAAGAAAAAAAATCTAAAACATGTATATTATTACAGTTACATCATGGAAACAATTAAATCCCATAAACGAATAGATTATATAGTTTCTTATCTCTTTATCAAAACGTGATAACATTGATACTATGTTAAAAAGTAAGAGAGTATTTTAATGTTTATCAATTCAACAAACACACACGCATACACACACACAAAATTTGCATTGATGTTGCTTGCACGTAAACCAAAAAAACTATAAAACATTATCTGAAACTCTGGGTAACGAAAAAGAAAGAGAGAGAAAGAAAAAGAGAGAGAGAGAGAGAGAGAGAGAAGAGAGGGAGAAGCCCGGAGATAGAGGATCAGGATTCAATATCTCATTATCGTCGATCCTAAATTGAAGTCACCAGTAGGAAGTAACGAGATCTCCAATTATCCTTGGGATAGTGTCATTCTATCTTATCATTTATTATACATATACATATTGTATGTGTGTGTGTGTGTGTGTGTGTGTGTGTGTGTGTGTGTATCTCCTTAATCCGTCTATTTTTTATCTATTTAAAATAATTTAAGAAATCTGCAAAAATTTTAAATGATGGAAAATGAACAATGAAACATACTTTCATAGAATAATTGTTTAAATTTTATAATTTAATTCATCAAATAAACTTGCACGAATATCACCCGATCTTGCCCCATGCGACTTTTTCCTTTGGGGCTACCTGAAAGCGAAGGTTTTTCAACACCACCCCCGAACCATTGACGAATTGAAAGCAGCAATACGCCAAGAAATTACAGGAATATCGCCTCAAATTATTGCTCGAGTGATGGAAACTTTTAGAAATCAGCTTCGAATGTGTATCGAAAAAAATGATCGCCACTTGGACTCTGTAATTTTCAAAACTCAATAAAAACAAATGGCATAGCATAAATTTTCAGTTAATAAAAATAAAATCTAAATAGCATTTACAATGGCGTTTTTATTAAAGATTAAAATGTGGGAGATCATTTTGCCGGACCCTGTATATATACATATATATATCTCCTTTGCGCAGATTTCGAAAAAAGAAACAGTACAGCAATTCTTAACCTTCGATCTCTTTATTTCATGCGATACGATTAGCAAGGTCCTTTCTTTCTAAAATCTATTAATCGCTACTGCGATATCATTTTGAATATCATTCAAAAAATATGATATTAATGAACATTATCATTAGCTCACAGTGAAAGTTTGTAACACACTTGTACAGTTTGATAGATTAATATAATAAATATACATAATTATTACAATAAAAATCATTTTAAATGTCTTGTTTGATAAATAAGAATAATAAGAATAATCTTCTTGCAAATTGTCTGTTATTACTCCTTACATTTTCTATTTATTTTTATCTAATTTGACAAAGAATCGGTCTCTGCAAAAATTTTTTCCGTATGTTTTGTTCCTCCCACTATCTCTCTTTTTCCTACTATCTCTGTTGTACTTTCTGTCTCGATATTCTCTCTTTATCTCCATTTCCATTCTCATCCCTCTTGTTTTGGTCCAATAGTCAGTCGCCAGTCTGATCGATGATACGCCAACAGGCAGTACTGCGCATGGCCGACTAAATACAAACTCGTTCCTTATTATACCGGGTGTGCCAATAAAGGGAGGATGGAAGTGGAGGAAGAGAAGAAGGAGGAGCAAGAGGAGCAAGAAGAAAAGGAAGATAAGAAGAGATTACAGAGATGATGGAGAAATGCAAGGACAGGAAAGGAAAAAGGGAAGAAGAATACCGAGAAAGCGTTTTGTCGGAGTTCCTCGCTCCTTCGAATCAAGGTGATCATATAAAGGATCTCTTCTAGTAGCGTCTTACTGCTACCGCTGCTTCAGCAATGCAGACCCGTTGCACCCCTTCCTTATACCCCGCTATTACTCTAACTCAGCAACTCGTGATATACCAGAAGATACCAAAGGATAATCCAGATACCCGATTTCCAATCCCAATGCTGCGAAACGACACCTCTGCACAGAACATCATTGATCCTCCTTTACGAGCTTGGTCGACAATGCTTTTCAATGCAACTTTTTCTCTTCTACTGCGAGCATCGGCATGTCTTTATTGCATCGGCATGCTTCATTATTACGTTTCTCGCAGATCTTATATCTTCAATGTATCGAATATCTACTGCTTCAAATGTCTGTCTACATCATACAATTTGCAATAAAAACATATTTTTCTATGACATTTTTGCATGTTTATAAACTTTGAATTTAGATTATGCTTTCTATGCTTGAAAAGTATTACTCTGATGAGTGATATACAAACAGCATATGATTTTTGTTTAAAAATAACGATAATTTTTATCACTTTTAAATAAAAAGTTATCTTTATGATATAGTATAGAATGATAGAATGTGACAGATTTAAATAAAATCTTAAATAATACAAGCTCTAAAATGTAAAAGGATAGAATTGCATGTGCGTACACAGGTATTAATAGAATGATAATGGCGATATGCAGTGAAATCTCATTACTTGTGGTAACGTGATATTATGCACAGGAAAGATGACTCCAATGTGGCGTAAGCGCAATATCAGGGGATATAATGAAATACCTAAATAATTTACGGCTATATAATTTTCGTGTTATTATTAGCGCCAGCGTTATCGAACTGTGCGCGAATATGTAAACGGTCATTACATAGTTCTGCAAAATTACCACTGATTCCTGGTATATTGTAATATCAAATAGAAGGAATTTCTCCTCGCAAACGATAAAGTTCTACATTGCAAATAAGTTAGAAATGCCGTAATTTATTAATCAAAATCATTAAAATGTGAATTAAGTATGACAACTTTATACGTTCGAGACGTTGAGTGATAGATTTAAAAATAAAAATTTTTATGTCTCTATCTATGTTTTCAAATGTTTATAGAGATTCTATGATATATATATATATATATATATATATACACGTATAAATGATATATACATTTACATTCTTGGTTATAGATGTACAAATAATAATTTCTTCTTTATTTGTACATAAAACCTTAAAAAGTTGTAATTTTTAAATAGTTTCTTATTTTTGCAACTTTTTTTTACTTAATCCTTCATGATACGATACAAACACACAAATTATTAAGTATTATCCACACAAATATGTAATAAGTATATGATTAGTCGTAATATCAACTCTGACTACGTTCACTTCAAAAATATGAGAAAGTAAATATATTGCAGTCTACATTAAATGGTAAAAGTTTATTTCGCATTTACTCGATATTAAAGACGATTATTCAGATAAAGAGATACTTAGATTATTCAGATAAAGAGATACTTAGATGTAATAGTTACGTAGATTCCCACAATCCCGACGATCCCTATTATCAGGGGTTGTTCGTAAGCCAATTAATCTTGGCAAATAAGCGAGGGAGAAGGGATAGAATATACGCGTTATCCCTCGGAAACGCATGACTTATTTGCCGCATAATACGTGCATAAGAGACTGGCCTAGTAGTAGCCCCTTCTTTGACTATCCGCTGGTAATAAATAGTTAAGTCGCAGACGGACCATCGCGAGGACCCCATGCTGCGAAACGGCACGCGTCAGGACATCATTACGTGAGACACTTGCCAAGCCAAGGGTGGCCCGAAAGGGATGTACGCGTTAGCCATCACTCGGCGTCGATAAGCAGAAAATAATTCAGACGAACGGATGCATTAGCAAGTAAACTCAGTTTCGATCGTGCATTGAAGTAATGAACCGCGATAAA